TTCATTCCAGTGAGGACTACTTATACAGCCGAGGCTTATGCGAGGATCTTCATTCGGGAGATAGTTCGACTTCACGAAGTTCCGGACACGATCGTATCGGATCGGGGATCGATTTTCACTTCACATTTTTGGAGGAGTTTCCAGGATTCATTTGGCAGCAGGCTATCTTATAACAGTGTATTCCACCCCCAGACGGATGGACAGACGGAGAGGGTGAATCAGGTGTTGGAGGACATGTTACGGGCATGTGTCATTGACTTCCAAGGTAGCTGGGAGGATCATATTCCACTGGTAGAGTTTGCTTATAACAATAGTTATCAAGCGACGATCGGTATGGCCCCGTATGAGGCATTGTACGGGAGGCCCTGTAGATCGCCGATATGTTGGGCGGAGCCAGAGGACAACTTGATGCTTGGGCCGGAGTTGGTGAGGCAGACTACTGAGAAAATAGCCTTGATCAGAGAGAGGATTCTAGGCGCTCAAAGTCGGCAGAAGAGTTATGCAGATAAGAGGCGAAGACCCTTGAAGTTTCAGGTTGGAGATTCAGTCATGCTGAAGGTATTGCCTATGAAGGGCGTACAACAATTCGGACGACGTGGTAAGCTTGCGCCGAGATACATTGGACCATTTCAGATTTTAGAGCGCATTAGAGCTGTGTCATACAGACTAGATCTTCCAGCATCGATGTCTAGTATACACAATGTATTTCATGTTTCTATGCTCAAGAAACACTTGCACGATGAGGAGCAGCAGCGAGTATTGGATGCACCAGAGATTAAGATTCAGGAGAATTTGACTACTATTGAGATTCCGGTTTGTATACTTGCCAGGGAGGACAAGAGACTTAGGAATAAGGTGATTCCCTTAGTGAAAGTTCAGTGGAACCGAGAAGGCATTGAGGAGATTTCTTGGGAGTGCGAAGAGGACATGCGTCGCGACTACCCATACTTGGTTGAGCAGGTAAATTAATTCTTATTATGTTATATATATTGCTTTATGTTATATTTTTTGTTATGTTTATATTTAACACTAGAATGCAGATATTTTTGCTTAATTTTTAATCTTTTGGAACACATGGTATATGTATGGGGGTTCCTTGTTTGGATGTGGTCAGAGAGTTTCCAGGTTTGTTTTCTTTTACGGTTTTTGTTTTGGTCTTATTGGGTTTCGGGTCGGGTTAGGGCATTAGTATATATACTAATTCAACCCAGGAGAGCCTCTCTTCATCTCAGACTTAAAACCCTAACCCCATCTCTCTTCTCTCAAAACCCTAACTGGACCTGGCGATTTGAGGAGTTCGGAGGAGTTTCAGGGGATTTTCGCAGATTTGATCGAAGGAGGATCATCTCCACGGCAGTTGTCAGCATCTAAGGCGAGTTTCATCTCGCCCAATCCCTCACCCCTGTTTTCCATAGTTTTCTTTTGAATTTCTATGAGTTTTGATGAGCCAAAATAGTATTTTTGTATAAAAATGAACTCTCTATAATATGGTTAACAAGAATCAGAGGTTTTAGTTTATAAAATTCACCAATGATCTGTTTAAATAAAGATCTAGATCTGAAATTTGCCTAAACAAGAGTTAAATCATTTTTACTGTTATTAAAATGCTTTTGATTTGTTTTCTCATGTATTTAGAATATTGGAAATGTAGATTTCAAGCTTGGGATTAGTTGTTTATCTTCTGTAAGATTTTTGAAACTTTAGAACTCTTGTTATCGTAAAATATCAAGTTTTTATTTTAGGTTTAGCAGCTGACAGAAAACCCAGATTGGGTTTCAGTCCGCTTGGCGGTCGACCGGTGCGGTCGACCGCTGGGCTTGTTTTAGGGCTGCGGTCAACCGCAGAGCCTCATCGGTCGACCGCGACGCTCTGTCGGTCGACCGCGAGGTCCCAGCGGTCGACCGACAGGTACGTATCAGTGTGCGGTCGACCGGTGCGGTCGACCGCCGCACTGTCTACTGTATATGTTCTGTTTTGTGTATTTTTGAGTATTTCACTCATGTTCGAGAGTTTGACTGGATTATCTGACATTGGTATTTAGTCTTACTATGTATCCATGCATGATAGATGACCTGAGGGTATAAATTAGGGACTTACACACTGATTTGAGTGTGGATTGATATAAGTAGATTATTCTATATATCTCAGCGACCTTTGCACAATCTCACAGTCCTCGTGTTGGACTATAATCCATAGAAGTCCTCGTGTTGGACTATAATATATTTCAGTCCTCGTGTTGGACTATAATCTATTTCAGTCCTCGTGTTGGACACTTGCCACTTATTCCAAGAGTTTGGAAATCACAATATATAGTTCCTATATCGGACATATTTTTCTTGACCCTGTATATGATTTTCTCACGGGAGTTTATGTCATAACACTTATGTAAATTTTGATATGATATTCATGTAAGTAATAACATGATACTCATGATAACTATGGTATGGCACTGTAATTATGCTCTGAGATTAGTTGTATTTCTTTTATTATTGTTTTCTGTACTAGAACCTCAGGTTTGGTGTTTAGAGATTTACAATTTGAGATACAAGGTATATACATGAGGGTTTCCTTGTTTGGATTATTTCGCTCGACGTACCTATGCTCGTGTTGTAAATTTCTAAATACTACAACCCTCTTTAGTAAGATCAATGATTTTAGATCTCTTATATATTAACTGTATTTTCTTATACAACGAGCCCTGTTCCCTTGGGGTTGGTTGTGATGTTACTCGCTAGCGCTTGACGCTCGTTGTCCCTCCCCCTTTCAGGTAACGAGCCAGGAGCCCGGAGAGTCGCAGGTTGATGGGGATGCATTTTAGCCTCCACCGTCTATTTAGTTATATATTTTCTTCTGGAGTTCCACATTAGATTTTTGTTTAGACATTTGAGAGTCTTGTTCTAGAAGTTGTAAAGGCTGTGTGCCTTATTTCCTTTTCGTCAGATATTTGTATTTGAGACTTGTTGAGTATTCCAGTTTATCTACTCAGATCTTGACTATGTATTTCTGTACGTTGGATGATGAGATATTTATGTGACTATTATCATTTCATCAGTATTCCTTGTATTATCTTTTACCTGTTTTGTACCTACACCAGTTGTTGACTCTACTAGATAGATGTTAATTGTGATGGTGAAACATGTTATTGCACGGTGTGGTGCATGGCAGGTTTGACATTCTTGGTTTTACCTTGGACTGCAGCCTTGTGTGAACCCAGGGGCGTCACAAGAGGACATCATTAACTCTCAATTTGAAGATAATGTTGAGATAAATATTCCAATAATTACCTATTCTTTTCCTTCATATTTCATTACATGTTTATAATTAAATTCTCAGATGGAACAATTCCTCAACAATCAAAATAACTATGTCAACTATGAATTTTTTTTCTTGAACAATTACAAAACAACAACAAGATGGTCATCACAGAAGTAAAATTACTATGTCCCTATTGTAATGGAGAAAATGGATGGACCTACGAAGAACTGCTAGAGCATGCTAAGGAAACTTGTAAATGTAAGTCAACAAAAACAAACGCCATACAAAAACATACATGGTGCACTAATGGAGTTCTTACTTAATGATTTTGCAATCTGTAATGGTCTAGGTTTGATTTGGATAATAGTAGGATTTAATACGTTAATTAATATATGAATAATGTAATGATTGAACTTTGTTTTGTAATATTTTATAAAAGTTATATTAATGCATTAATTTCGTATTCACTTGTTCAATTTAAATAAACGCTAGTTATTTCTAAGATCATGTTCACAAAATTCGTATTTAGGATACATATTCTCATATATATATCTCTGTTTCAACTCATAACTACATATGTAAAGTAAAATCTAAGGAAAATTTACCAATAATTCAAAACAAATCCAAATTTAACTTACATGATGATTGCGGCATTTGTAGAACCTCATTCCTGGATTTTCATCAGTCATAGAAGTAAAATATTCGCACTCCAAACCACAACTACAAACCTTCACCCCAGATTGCTTTGCTAGATCATTCCACCGTCGTACAACTTTTATCCCATTGAACCCTTGTTTGCTTCTTCCCATGCTCGTGCTTGACGTTGATCTTGAGCGACATCTTGAAGATGAAGAATCCATCGCTAATTTAAATTCCACTCAACCTAACCCTAACCCTAGGAGGAAGAAGAAGATGGAGGAAGAAGATGGGAAGAAGAGGAGAAGCCTAAGGGCGTGTTTGGATTTCAATGTGGTTAAGGGAAGTTAAGGGAAACTAAGTGAGAGAAGAGAAGCGAAGGGAAGAGAGTTCCCTTCCCCTTGGTTACACCTCAATTTGGGGTAACAAATTTTATACTATTAAGGGGTAAACTAAGGAGAACTAGGATGAATAACTTGACCTCCTAAATGTTCCCAAATAAGGTGAATGGTTCCCCTAACTTCCCTTCTCCCTTATTCCCCTCAATCCAAACAAGCCATAACTCTAATCTGAGAAAAGCGCCCCTTCAAAGAGAGTAAAACATCCTAATTACTATTATGCTGGAAGCCACGTTGGAACCATATTCGCATCCAGTGAGACGTCACATGAGAAAAATCATCGTAAATTAGATCGCGCCAAACTTAAGGCCCATTTACCGCCTAAGGAAAGAAAAAAAAATACTAATATGTGGCTGGAAAAAAAAATGCGAAACCGTCGGTAACAATAAACAAAATATACTAATTTGGTATTCTTACTCGGAAACAAAACGGATAATATACAAGCTCCACAGCCCGAAAAATATCCCGCACCATTTCAAGCTCCGCCCCTCCTCCTGCTCGCCGGTGGCAATGACGATCCTCATCCCGCCTGCCGCCGCCACCATCACAACCGGCAACCTCCACCTCCCTAAATCCAAAGACCCCGCCGCCTTCCCTACCCTTTCCTTCAAGAACCCCCATCGCGTCTCCACCAAGCCCTCCCTCAGATTGACCGCAAGAATCTCAGCCGGCGCCTCCCTTATAGATTCCTTCACGGCG